TCTACACTCCTTCACCTCGAACTCAACGCTCGCCTAATCCCGACCCTTTCATCCCTTCTCAACACATGTCCATACCACCGCAATCTCGATCTCCTTATCAATGTCACAATGTCCTCATTCAGTCCCATCATTGACATCAGCTCTGTACTACTCCTCCTATCCTTCACTTTAACCCCACACATCATCCTCACCATAGCTCTTTCAGCCCTCTGCAGTACACTTTCCTCCTCTCTCCTCAACACCCAAGTTTCACCACCATATACCATCGCTGCTCTCACACATGCTTTATATACCCTCCCTTTCATCTTCACTGACCATTTCTTTCCACACAATACCCCACCCAGTTCCCTAAATTTCATCCATCCCACACGAACTCTAGTCGTAACTGCGCTCAAACATCCTCCATCCGCGTTCAGCTTATCCCCTAAGTAAACAAAGCTTTCCACTCTTTCAATACCACCACTCAACCCCGTCCTTGCGTCCGTCCTATTAATCACACCATGAACACATTTCTTACATTTGAACGTGCCTTCCACCTTTTTCAGTGCCCCCCTCACACCACTACATCTCTTATGCACCCATTTCTGACATCCTATACACAATACCGAATTAGCCTTCACTCTCCTGTTACATACCCCACAGGGGTCTATTTTACTTATCACTCGCTCCCCACCTTCTCCACTCACCATTACCTTCGTCTTACCAATATTAACTTTTAACCCTTTCTTTTCAATAACACTTTTCCATTTGTCAAATTTTAACTGCAATTCTTCATGGTATCAGCCATCAAGACTAAATCATCTGCATACAAAATCTCAAATAACAACTCCTCCATTATGTTTCCACACACAACATCCATCACAATTGCAAACAGAAACGGTGATAACACTGATCCTTGATGCACTCCTATCTTAACACTAAAAGCGTCCGATATCCCCCTTCCAACCCTCACCTTTGTCTTTGCCCCTTCATACAGCTGCATCACAGCTTTAACAAGTCTCTCATTCACTCCTTTCTTCCTCAACGCCCATTCAATGACCTTCCTCGGTACTCGATCAAAAGCCTTTTCTAGATCCACAAAACACACGTACAATCTTCGTTTCTTCTTTCTATAATTCTCCTGCAACATTCTCACCATGAACAACGCATCCATGTCCTGTCATGTCCTGGTTATGACATTAAACTAACCCTCACTGCCTTGTGAGTGATGTTGGATCATCAAAGGCTAGGCCCACCGCTTATAACTGTGGTTGCGTAAGGAAGGGCGTCCTGCGTAAAAACTAGCCAAAAAATAATACTTATGATGACAGAAATAATAATTAATAATAATTAAATAAATTTAATTAATTAATTAAATAAATTTATTTAATTATTAATTAATTAGTATAAATAATTGCACATGGAAGAATTTGAATGTTTATTTTATTGTCTTGAATAAATATATCATATTCTGCATGTTTCAGTGTTTTTTTAAATGAATTATCTTCGAATGATTAAATGGTAATATATACATTAAAAAATAAAAATTATGATAGCATAGAAAAGTAAATAAAAATTAAAAAGTAAAATATTATCCCCAAGCTTGATTTTTGCAGTAATAAAATGTTATCTTTCTATCTGATCCATAACACTAAAAAGTTGAATGATTAATTTTAATATACAAGTAAAACAATGAAAATAAAATGAATATCATGATACAGCAATTAGAAGCATAATATAACACAAATGATAAACTATTCATCAACATTGGAATCCAATAATGGAAAAACATTTCTAAACGAAAGAAAACTAAAAAATTTAGATACAAACATCATACAAAGATCCAATGGTCATATCTGGCGCTGGTGCAAAGCATTGATTGATATACAGAAACTAGAAAAAAAAATATAAATAAAAAATTTATTTTTGATTGATTAAATAAGAAATACAATTTTGATTAATCAATATTAACACTTGTGTACATTAACTTTTATTCAATTTCATCATATTTGAAGGCATGAATATAACACACAATAAACATTCTAGTGAGACTGACAAACAGAATAAATCTCTTCGAATAGCAGCACTTTTACAAAGCTACCTTACGGTAATGTTTAAAATTTACACACAATACATAAACATGTAGTTCCAGCTACTTTACAATGAAAACAAAACCCTATTCAAACATATCACGATGAGCGAGCAAGTGAGCATCATTGCAGCTCTATACATTATTGACTCATAATTGATATTAATAAACATTAATAGAATTTATTATTTAAACTCATTAACTATATTAAGTTTTCAAAAGCACACCTCAAAGTTTTTAAATGCTCCAAAGAATTTTAAATTCATATTTTATAAATAAAATAAATTCTAACTAATGATTCATGGGGCGCACAGGTTAGGTAACTTCGAAAGAATCCAGTTACGTCTGAAATTGTGATATTTCTTTCAACCTCCCATTTTTTCTTTTTCATTATAGGAGCATCGGCAGTTGGTTTGAAGTAAATAGAAACTGTGAAATATTACCAAAATAGATTTAATTATTTAAATAACAAACAATCACTTTACTAGCTAGTAATATAAAAATCTCATAACCAAACGACCTGTTTGATAAAGTTGGTTTGAAAACTGAGCTCTTTATTACAATTTTCAATCAAATACATATTATGAATAATTATTCAATTACTACGTTATAAAAATTTGTTTTTATCAAATTAATAAAAATAGTGTGCAAGTGAACCAACCATAAGTCAGTCAATTAGTCTGACCCTAAAAAATGATTTGCAGACAACTAGGCCCTGGACAACTCAAGTTGTGGGGGCAAGTTGTCCATATCAGAAAAAAGACACCCAAGGCCAAATCATAATACGGCCCTCCGTTGGGTATGGTAAGAAAGAAACAGAGTAAGAAACAGGAAAAAAAAGTAAAACAAAACAAAAATTACTTGTATCAGCAGCACCAGCAGCAGTCTCATGCTCATTTGCAATCTCACTTTTTTCTTCCATATTTAATTTAAAATAATTAAATTTAACACTATTCAGTCTTTCAGAAATTAACTAAAAAATTTTCTCTATTAATTTTTCTAATTTAAATTCGAATCAATTTTTTGTTTCAACTTTACGTGATGAAGCAAAGGAAAAAAAACTAGAAAAACTAAATTGTGACTTCAATCAAACTAGCGATGGACATTTATTAAATTTACAAATCAATCAGCTTATTAAGCGCTTGTTTCGCGATATTCAACAGCTCTCTTCAATGAATTTTGCAAACAGATGGGTCTTGAGATCCGCTCTGAACTTTGTAAGTGATAGAGAAGTAGCCAGAGAAGTAGTCAGAGAAGTAGGTAGAGAGTTCCAGAGAAAAGGGCCAGAAAAAGCAAATGCAGATTTTTAGCAAAAAAGTGTTTAACACGAGTTAAGAAGTGAGAACAAGAAGACGATCGTAAACCGGGGCGTTTAGGCTCAATTAATATATCTGATTCACTACTTTTTTCTAATATTAATACTTTACATAATATACATGCTAAGCTGACTGTTCTGTAGTTACTGGTGTCACACCTGCTCCCTTCTTGGAATATTGAACATTTTTTCTTAGCTTCGTATATTAGACGTTCTGCTTTTTTTTCCAAATAAAGTAAGGTCTCTTTCCTATTATATTTTAAAATTATTAACTACAACCATATATAGAGTTTTATATTCTATATATATATATGATTACAAATTCTGTTTAGATGAATCATACTTTATTTTATTGCACCCAGTTTTAACCTGTTTTAAGTTGTCAAGCAACGAAGAAACGATAGTTTTTTGGCATGTAGCATGGTTATAACAAAACTATATCAGTGGAAGTTTTATTTAATTTTAATCAAATTACTTTTTTTGGTTAAATCAAGATAAATTAATGTTACCATGTCTATTATTATAAATGCGTCATATTATACAACACATAATTTATGAAAAATGTTTAGCATAAAAGTTTTTCAGAAAACATTGATTTAGATTTAAGCCTGAAATATTAAAAATGTTGTCAAAAGCACGTGAACACGAAGTTTGTAAAAAGGCAGAATACACGATGAACGCTTGGAGAATAGTAAATAAAAAATTATTGCAAATCTTCAACAAATAAAGAATTTGTTATTAACCACATATAGTACTAAAAATAAATAAATCTTATAGCAGAAAACACCATTGAAAGTTTTTTTTTCAATATAAAGCACATCAATTCATGAGAATAAGCAATAATATTATCAAAACAGTAAAACATTTTTAAAAAATTCATGAAAATTGCATGTGCGTGAGACACGATCGCTAAACGATGAAGCCTGTAGTAGTTCAAAAGGCATAAATAAATAAGCAGACTTGCTATTCATGGCTGATCGTTCTTGCACTTTGATTATATATAAATGGTTTCAGGTGCATTTTGTAATGTAATAATACTTTACTATTCAGCGTATGAAGTCTTACGTTGTCGATGCGTGCAACATATTTGTAGTACAAATAAAAATATATTAATTTGGTCACTTACGATGAAGAACTATTTTGAAAACCAATCAATAACACAAAGCTTGAAAATGACTGTAATAAAAATATTCGTGTCAATATACTAAATAGACATATAAAAATATAATTAACATATTAAAATAAGAGATAGTCAACAGCTATTACTATTATTAAATAAAAAATAGGACAAATTGAGAATAATCCATTAAATAATGCTTGCTCTCTTCATTTGAACGCATGCCAGAACCAGGAGGAAGAGTGTTAATATTCCGCCGATACAAAAAAATGCATATGACCAATGTAGTTTAAATCCTTCCGCTTTCACTCCAAACAATGCCACCGACACTAGGATTGAGATAACTGTGTGCGATTGTTTGAACTAACTTTATAAAGGTATCCAATGTCGAATATTGCAAACGACAAAATGATTTAAAATAAACAGAAACTTGCAGACTATGCGTAAATTTAAGAGATAAATTGGTAGTCTTAAATGAAAGAAACTCAATTTTGGAACCTTTTAGACCAATAATTTATTATTTTGTTTAATTGAAGTAACCTGATTTTGATGTTGTGAGGTCGAAGCGCGAACATACAACTCATAAATTAAACATCTATTACATGCATTAAATAAACTAAATATAAAGGGAATAATTCCACGCGTTATGGAAACATTCAATTAGACTGTTGCAAAATATTCAAAATGAAGGAGATTAAATGCGTGACTATAATGAGGCTAGTTGGCAACCGGTGTCAAAGAAATGCGTTCAGGCATTTCATGTTTCGAACTTCTTTTCAAAAATTCTAAATCACGTGTCAATTCTTTATATTATATAATGTTTCCATGGATCTAAACCTCAAATTGTAGTTCTGAATTGTCTACATTCAACTTTCCTAGTTTTTAAATTAAGCTGAAAAATCAAACCTGTGATGACGCAGCAAGCGACAATAAGCTTGAGGACGAGAGACTTGCTTATGGACACGTTGTGAACAAAGTTGTAGAGGATAATAAAAATGAAGGCAAAAGATAAAAATATTATCCCTAATGTTGCAGTGGCTTGGACTCCCTGAAACCAACCTATCAAAATTAAAAAAATCAATTATGTAATAACACATTCATCCGTTTAATTTACGAAAGCGATTATAAGCTAAGTTATTGTGGGCTACACTTGAAGACTAAAAGTGTATTATAACTAACTATAATGATTAATAAATTGTTAAAAATTTTCAATAACATTTGTTAAAATAATAATTGTAATACCGACCATAATTGGCAAATATAGATCTAGATATACTCGTGTAACTGCTCCAAAGTCCAGTCCAAGTATCCGAATAGTGAACCCATCCACATGTTGAGAAGCCAATGGTAGCAAAGAGGATTGCAGCCAACGACGCCCAGAACATTCCTCCGGACAACCCCTGCAAGTTGATCTGGTGCGTCTGTACCGGCATTCCAACTAAATGTAAATCTGCTTTCGGCAACTTAATTTTGTGAGTATATATTTGTATATTTTAATTGTATATGTTAATTCTGTACACTACTAAATTCTACAAAATGTTCATTTAAAAATTGTAAAATTACACCTAGATTTTACGGCAATTAAATGAAAGAACAACATATCCAAAACCAAACAAGCCTTAAACGAGGAAATTGAAGTTTAATGATGAACTAACTAAACACAAATTTTCAATCCAAATTTCGTATGAAGACCGACCAACGAACGTAGAAAACAAAGGCAACCTTCACTCTCCCATGCAGTCCGCTTGCTTTTTTATACCAAGCTAACGCTGCTGCGAAACAAACCGCGCTCGCATCTTACTGGATGCAATATAAACTGAACGACTAGCATTACGCTCAGACATATGTGCCTCTATATTTGCATCTTATAGATATATTCACGGTTTATATACGTGCATGTGTGTAATGTACACACACAAAAACATACACATTTTTCTCACTCTTTATATATATATATATATATATATATATATATATACATAATTATATATATATATATATAATTGATGAAAATCACAGTATGTTCGACGTTAGAAATTGGAAAAGGCGATGCTTTCGTCTGGTGAAATCATCGGGAAAAAAGATACGTCTTCAAATCTTTGCGAAACTTCTGAATAGTTAAACTAGGGTGACGGAGGCTGTGTGGCTGTGAGTTCCAAATTTGTGGACCAGCAACGGCAAAATTTCTATTGGCCACCGTCAAATCTGTTTTTGGCACCAATAAAAATAACTGATTAGTGGAAGAGTATTATAAAAATCATTGAAGTTCGCTTCTTTATACAAATTTCCGTAATTTGATCATGGTTTTCGCACGTTTTAAAGTTTTCAAGAGGGTTCTCATAGTTAAGGTAAACAATTTATTTTTTACAAGTAATTTATGTTGTATTGTCGGATTTTTGTTACAGTACTGACTGATATTTGATAAAAAAAAGACGGTAAAATAACAAACAGATTGAGTCAGAGTCAAGAAATTTAATGACAGAAAACAAGTGCATTCGTTATATACGCAGGCATGCACATTATAGTTGAACAGTAAGATCGGTATATGATTCTAAAAACTGTACTTTAAAACTGCACTTTAATACATCCAAATAAAAAAGTAAAATGAAGTAAAATATCAAATTATATAGACTGCTTAACATGCCGGGCCACTTTAAAACAAATTAAGATTTTGTTAACGTGTGAAGAAGACCATAGAGTTTGTGTTGTAGCTAATCTGCTGAGGTTGGATTATATCGGTGGTTAAAAATCATTTAATAAAATTTTTCTAAAAAAATTAATTGAATGGAAGTAATAAATCTTGAACAAAAAAACTCAATAAGCTTGAGTGAAAAGCAAATACTTCATCGTATGAGAGGGAATGATTAATAAAGTTATTTTCAAAAATATTTACAACATATCATTCTTCCTTAATTGCAAATTTCCGTTGAAATTCATTAATAGTATTTTCTATTTAATATATTAATTAAAAAATTATAACGATAATATGTATTTAAATTCTTTCCTATTCCAAACTCTACATTGAGTTATATCAATATTTGTCATTAAGAAAAACATTCAAAACATTCTATTTATAACCTACGTAACCCTGTGACGTAAATGTGACGCGTGTGTGTTGCTTGTACGTACGTGTGTGTGTGTGTGTGTGTGTGTGTGTGTACGTATGCTCCACGAGATCTGTGAGTGACGTCAACACAGAAGATAATTAATTATCTGTTTAGTGCATGTCCTTCAAATTTTTAATAACACCAAATATCTAAAGGCCTAAGAGAATTAAATATTAAAAGGCTTTCCGCGTTGTACATCATCCTAATGTTTACTTAGCAATCTTAACAAACGAACCATAATGTGTGCTGCTATTGAGTAAACTAACTGCACGATTGTTTGAATGAAAAAATAAAGAGATAAAATAATAAAATGAATGAATGAATGAATGAGCGGTCGAAGGATAAAATGATTAAATGAATGAATGAGCGGTCGAAGATCGAATGAATGAATGAATGAGTGAGTGAATGAATGAATGAATGAAATTAATTAATGAACGAATGAACGAACGAACGAATGAACGAACGAATGAACGAACGAACGAATGAATAAATGAACAAATGAACAAAGGAACAAATGAACGAACGAACGAACGAACGAATGAATGAGCAAACGTAAGTAAAAGAGCGTAAAATCCTGTTGAAAAAATTATTTTCGGGTCTGAATAAGTTTCAATTATAAATGTTTAACAATTAGAAAACAACGCTAATCGTGCAGTTGTTATAATAGGCTATTTCTTATTATTTATTGTTATTATTATTTATAAATTTATTATGTACATTTATTAACAGTTAATTAACTAATTTCGCATCTGCTCAACATGTGCCCGTTCTCTTCAAAGGTCCCAATTAAAAATTATTCAAATTAAACTTCATAATAAAATATCATAAATATATAAATAAAAATAAACTCTAACTATTAAGATGAACATGTATGATTGTAATAAAGATACATATCATTGTAGTAAAGAGATATATCATTGTAATAACGCTATAGAAACAAATGGTATAGTTTAAGGACGAATGACAACATTTTAATGGGAAAATTAGATAAAGAAGATAAATTTTCGGCAAATAAATCTAAAATATTAGAAATATTTTATAATTTTAGTTTTAGATGAATCGGTTTAAAATACTTTAGATGTAGAAAGCCATATACAATATATATTTTTATGTGTGTATGATTATATAAATTAAGAGTGAGTTGATAAAAAAATGATTCATGCTTATTCCACACGCACCAACACACACACAAACACACACATACACACACATGCACGCACACAAAACATACTACGCATGTTTATACAGCTTACAATTTCATATGGTGATACAAAGTCATTTATTATATTTTATTAATTATTAAATAATTTTTTTAAATTAATGTTGAGTTTGAAAGTATTAAAATATTTGAAAATTTTAATCAGTTGAAATAAATTTGCATATTAATTGGGAATCACGGACATTTGTTTAAAATGGACATTTTATGTTTGTGTGTCATATAGATCATAACAAACTGCTTGACAGTATAATGTGAGATTGATCATATTTTAATACTTCTTAGAACTCTAGCCCAATATGTTTGTATAATATTTTTGTTGTTACTGTGAAGATAAATGAATGGAAGTCTTCGTTCACTACTTACTTAAGCCTCGTTAGCAGCCACATCACAATGTTCGCTCCCATGACTCATCATCTCTATCCTCACATTTACATCACTATCTTCATCATCGTCGTCGTCGTCCAACTGTATCATTTGTTTATATCTGATACATATTTAGAACACATGTGCACGCATCGAATTTGTTATGGACGAAACAGCGCGAGTCTGTTCATTATGATTCGCCTATTGATTTCGAACAGCTTTTACTATCAAGCTGGTTTTGTGAGTTCGTTTGTACACTGACTGGTTGAACCAGATATTTAGCGAAGCTGGTGATTTAGTTTATCACCTTTGTCATCTTCTGTCTCTTTGTTATCAGTCATTCATAAACTTTAGTGCTCCTGATGATGATGATGTTGATGATGAAAATGATGATGATGACGGTAGCAAGGAAGATTGATGACGACGACTTTGAAATGAAAATGATAAATACAAGGTGATTAATTTTCAGGGAGTCTGTTTACGAACGAATTACGAAGCATGTACGTGCTAGTGATGTTGTGATGATATAGTGATGACGACGATAATACCGTGGTATCATTATGGGATGATATGATATCATGACATAACGATTTTGTTATTAAGTTGATGAGAGAGGTGATGATATGGTGATATGATATTGTGATGATATTGTGGTGATGTACGACGATACGGTGGTATGATGTTGAAATGATATGATATCATGACATGAGGATATAACGGTTTTGTGATTAAGTTACATTGATGCAAAGAAAATGCGATGATATAGCTATGTAATGATACTACGGTGTAATGTTATAATGATATCATGTTCCCATGACGTACTCATATTGTGATGTCACCATGATATTACCATGATATGATACGATATCATGATTGCGTTACCGAATCATGACGATGTTACGATAATATGATATTATAGCGTTACCAAGAAATTGTAGCAGAACATAGAAAAACAAATCCTATCATACGTACATAAATAACCTATATTTCGCCGTTTGTTTTATAGCCCCAGAGTGAAACAACATTTGAGTCATTAAATGCATGTGTATATGTAGATAATATATGCTTGTCTGTTTGTTTACTATTATCATAACCACTTCTCATCATCATCATCATCGTCGTCATTATCATCACATCATCATCAGAATCATCATCATACATCATTACTATCATCATCTTCATCATCATCATCTTCTTCTTTTTATTATTATTATTTTTTTTTTATTATTATTATTCACATAAACAACACAACAACAACAACATCATTTCTACCATAATATATTGGTACATGATATCGGGTTGCCTGCCTATTTATTTTTAAATGCAGTTAAAAATCCTACGACTCCCTTTCAACGAAGGGAGTTTCATTCGCACACATCACGAGTCACACACACACACACACACACACACACACACACACACACACACACACACACACACACACACACACACACACACACACACACGCACACACACACACACACACGCACACACACACACACACACACACGTGCATGGTTGCATGGTGGGCTGGCAAGCAGGCCTCCTAACCCCTTATTTGCATGTCATGTTATAAAATTCCTCATATTTGCAAAAATCAAGGCTAAGCTAAGCTAATTTTGTTGAAACATCATCGTCATGGTCGCCATCATCATCATCATCATCATCGTCATCATCATTATCATTATTATCATCGTCCTCATCATCATGTTTTGTGTTTGTATCATTATCATCATCGTCATCA